ATTTTCTTTTTTTAAATATATATATATATGGTAGCTTGACTCTAGTTAAATTGAGAATATAAAGATGAGTTCTTATATTGTGTTGCTTAGAAGTTAGATCATATCCAACGATGTATTCTGTTAAATGGACAGAAATGACTAGCAGTCTCAAAAGACCATTATATCAAATGATTAACCAAGTCATGAATGTCTCAACCGTTCTAATTTAAAGGAATCCGGTAACTTTGTCTCAGATTCTGAAATAAAATTCTGGATTTAGCTCATGATGCAATGATAATTATAAACCTTTAGGTCAGTCAGGAACCCCATGACTTTTACAAGCCGATCGCCTGTCTGATTATCAAGATATTTATGATTGGAATTACAAATTTTGAAAACCGTTCACCTGACGGTTTTCATAACACTACAGTCTATTGGGGAAAACGAGTATGGTAAAACCGGTCACTGAAAGATTTTTACTTTTTTGAGGCACTTCTTGATCATTTTGAAGCGCAATTTTTGTAGGGCTTCAATATTACACCATATCACAGACACTGATAACACGTAGGGCCGTGTATCTCAGATTTATCATTGTTAAACGATCCCTTTAAACGTGATGATGAAACTTATCTTGAAAGAAATCTTTTAAAATTGAAGCCATATTGCTTGCCGCAGAAAGGTATTTCCAGGAATCAATCTGAAAGATATAAAATCAGAAAAAAATATGCAGTCATCTGTATGGCAATCCTTGCAGAATCATGATTCTAGCTTCATCTTTAATAATAATAATAATAATAATAATAATATTGGATATGTATATAGCGCACATATCCACCCTGCAAGGTGCTCAAAGCGCACCGTTAATGACCATTTAGCACCATTAATGACGAACAAAGAATTGTATTTTGAGTTATATATCTCATTTAATCTTTTTTTATCCACCCACAGATTTAGGAAAGGGAAGCAGTACGTCTACACCCTTCAAATGCGGGATGATTCAACCGTTGTTCAATTTGCACAGAATGGCTACAAGCGGTTTCCTGGCGTCGATGTACTGCCAGAGCAATCACCATTGTAAGTTGATCTTTGCAGCTGGTAAAGTCAAGCCCATGTTTGAGCACCAATCATGGGGTAACATGAGAGTTGGATTCTAGTCAACCTTATCTTGAGTACATGTACATGTAATATGTATGCATATAAAATATATACATGTTATGAGGTGGGTGAGAGATGAGATTACATGTCATGGCACACAACCTTGACGAGAGAGAGAGAGAGACAGAGAAAGAGACAAACAGAGACAGACAGACAGATAGAGAGAGAGAGAGACAGATACTGTAGATAGAGAGAGAGAGAGAGAGAGAGAGACAGAAAGAGAGAGAGGGGAGTACCACAGATTAAGGGAGTGATACAGATTGTGAAAACAGCTATATAAGTTCCAAATATAACTGCTTTAGTTACAGGATTTATACCTTGTATGCCTGTCACGCCTTGAAGAGTATTCCATTTAACTATTAATGATATCAATGATTATCTGATTTATGCCTGTTTTCATACTGGCAATGAAAACGGGTACATCAAGGGTTCAGTGACACAAAGACGTAAATCCATATTTTGCCAAAATGAGTTTTTGATATCAAAATATTTAAAAATGTGGGCTTTCCAGGAAATATAAAGACTTACGGTAACTCCACCCATTGAAGTCAATGGCTAGTCAAACAGACTTAACTCCTTAAGGCCCAAGTGCTCAATGACACATAAACCACTTTTCCTCACAATGACCAAAATGGAGTTACATCTTTGTGTCACTGACCCCTCAACATTATAACTTGACATCGTTTGTACTAATTCATTGAATAAAAATCAGCTAGTCATACTTACACATTTTTTCTTCATGTTTTCATTTTAATCAAATGCACAAAGCAAAAGTATGATAAGGTAAAAAAATCTGTTATAGAAATTCCATATATTCTACTAATTATAGAATAATGCTATGAATGATTGATCATTGTAATTTTTACAATTTTCTTGCAGTGATACTCTGACAGAGAATATTGCAGATCAGCTAAAGGTTAGTATTATGGGTATTGAAGTCCTCAATAATCTATGCTTTATTCATGTACTTACAAGCAAAGCAAAATGTGTTTTTTTAAAGAACATTTTCGTATAAAAATGAGGGTTATCAATGGTATGGCTACAGGAATACCCCCCCCCCCCCTTGCCAGCAAATGGTTAAAAATACCGGTATGGAAAGTAGGGAGAGAGAAAAGAAATATGAGAAGATGATATCGTGATCCCCTCCATCAGTCTTTCTACCTCTCTCATTTTATCCATTATAGCTAAGTGTGAGTGACCCCTTCCCCCATGACTAGACACATGTTATACAACTGATGGAAAGATCCCATCCAGACTGAATGATAGACGGTTAATAAATGATACCATTCTATTAGACCTTGATCCAGGTAATGATTGGCTATATGAACAAGGTACCCTGTATCCTGTAGATAACTCATACAATAAAAGTAAAATGATAAGAAGCCAGATATTTCATATCAATAAGAAATCAATGCTTACGAGTACACAATTAGATTACCTGATACAAATATGTCTCATTTCATTATGTCTGTATGTAACAAACTACATAAAAACAATTGATCTTTCATCACAAAGTATGTATGAATTATAGCTGAATAATTTGTAAAATATTTATATGAATAATATTCCTTGTGAATATTTCTTGAATACAGGAAGTTCTCCCTGAGTCACATTCTTCCAAGCTGATTGTCATCGGCCTTCCTGTGGTCGTCGTCCTTCTCATCATCGTCTTCATCTCGAGACGTCGAGCATCTGATATCCTTCCTGGAAGAACAAAGAAAGGAGTTTGATTTTTTTTTCCATTTCACTTTTTTTCTTCTTTCGTTTAGATGTATTGCATGTGGTATTTATTGTACTATCATTCCTAGGTATTTGTAGAATTCAGTATTGTAGGCTGACGTACCGTGTGTGCAAAATGTTTGCTGTAAACAACTATTATTTTACAGACACAAATTATGACGTATGACTTTAAGTAACCATAGTAACATTTAACATTACTGCTACCCATATTGGATATAACACCGAGAGAATATGTGCCAAGCATAGTGGGGTTTATATTTTAGAATATTTCAGTGAATGTATCACAGTCTATAAACTAAAAAAAATAGGTTATATCTTTAGTAGGATCAATTCTAGTAGACACTTTTATTTATTATTTTTTGGTGTAGTATTACATGTGATCTTTATCATCTCTTTATGATCGCTTTTCCTGTTGATTTCTTTAGTCTTCCACTACCAGATATTCTGTATAAAAATGCACAATGTCTAGGTTGTGTAGTTATGGTTGATGTTAACATCTAATATAAAAATAATTTCTGCTTTTTCAATTTATTTAACAAAAGGGCTGTTACATTCTGGTATACATATATATCCAGAGGCCATTTATTATGCTGTTTCTCTTCTTACTTTTTTTGCTGATTACATACTTTGATATGCTTTAATGCATATGCATAGATGTAATAATTCTATTTGAAGTGCCTTATTCATGCCTTAATCAGTACATGAATTCTGAATTTCGTTTCGAATCTAGATTCTGAACATTTTCTTTGTTACAGAATTTGATAAAAGTTACAAAATACTGCAAAGACTACAAGTGAAATGTTATTGATTCAATCTATCCCTAAAAGAAGATTTTACAAGTTAGCATCTATTGAAAATGAGGAGAGTATAAATTATGCATAATATTAAATATTATATTCCACATACTAAGAATCTTGCTCTACGATTGGTCAAAAGTAAATCAAGTGATGAAAGATAGTTCGCCCATCATTGATGGAGAAGAAAAGTTTTTTACACTGTGTAGATAGTACTACTATCTTTAGTGAAAGTGCGTTGCACTCGGTAGATAGTAGTAATATCTACTCAGTGCAACACACTTTAATTGTAAACGTTGCATATTAGTGTTAGTATGCAAACTTTGGTCACGCGCAAACAATGGTCACACCATACTGCATGCACTTTACGTATTGTACACCATTTGCTAGCTGTTAATTGATGACTTGTTATAAAATGACGGAAGAAGTGAAATGTTTCCGATGTGAAATATAAAGCAAACAATCATCTTTTGGTTTCAGGCGATGGCAAATTATCACTTCCTCGGCGATTCGAATGTATACGCTAAGATAGATACATCCATATCGCCTCGGAAGTGATAGTTTGTCCAATCACCTTCACCAACGGTAATTATTTGCTTACTAGTGCGTTTTGACCTTCAGAAGAGTTAATTCGTCCCTGTTTTCACGAAGTGACGGTAGTGAGGAAAATCGCATACATTTTCACTTTTGATTTTTTTGCATTTTTGGACATCATTCACTAACATCTTCAACCTCACAAAATTTCAGATCATAATAATGTCTAATTATGTCGCTATGACGATGACGTAAACAAGAAAATGCATAGCAAAAGGATTTTCTGTTTTCACGAAGTGACGGCCAAGTACGCGCTTAACAGCCGTCAATTCGTGAAAACATCGTTTGCTCTTTTCCTGCTTTTAATATTTTCACGAAGTGACGGTAGTGAAAATTTCGCAGTTTGGAACAGTCACAGACCATGGAAAGGTGAGTTTTTAAACTTTTTTTTAGGGTAAATTAATGTGGTACGCTCTTTTGATTCATTCTGATTCTTTGTAAGCCAAAAATATGTCCATGAGCACAGAAATGTGTGAAAAATACACCGCCGTTCCACATTTCGCCCCATATACTTATTTTCATGTAAGTGAATAAAGGAGTGAAGTATCATGTGATCCAAAACTAAAAAGATCAACTTAGACTTAACAAATATGCATCTAGACTAAATAACTTAAGTGGAGAGTCTTTCTTATTTTGCTCCACACCAAATATTAATGCTATAAGGTTCTTTTTATATCTGCTTAAGTTATACATTTGAACAAAGTTTTACAGAAAGTTAGAGAGTAGATCATCTAGACTCTAAATATACACATCCCCGAGCGAAGCTCGGGGATGTACCCCGCTTGCTCCAAAAAGCCGCTGAGCCCCCTACACATTTGCCGACGACACGAATATCTATTCTATCATAACCTTTATCACCTTGGGAGTGTGTTCTGGGTGTTCGGTATTACATGAGCTTCATGCAGCTCTATTTATTTTTAAATAAAAATGTTAAAAACTCACCTAATCCTGCCTTTTTATCAGTAAAGTCCTTCACACAGCGAACAAAGTTGTGTGCAGTCCTATGGGGCTCGATCTCATGTAATCGCTGTATATGAACCGGAAGGTAATCGCAACTCTGTGAAGGTCAAGTCACGTGACGAGATCGCCCGAGTAGCACGCGCGGAAGCAACTGCTGTAGCAGACGACGCGACGTCTATACTGTGTGCAATGTAAATTTATAGCGTAATCGCCCAGATTCATTCATGATTCAGGCAGAAATTATTCAGCGTACGTAGAAACTGCCATGGAAACGAGAATGCTCAAAGAAGTTGTGGATGATGTGCTCGGAAGTACTTTTGTACTGAAACAAAAACAGGAGTCCATGCTCATAAGCGCTGCCAAAGGAAATCACACCATGGGGATCCTTCCCACTGGATACGGAAAAAGTTTGATTTATGCCCTCCACGCACCACTTTTGAACAAAGTAGGCATATTGTGTTTTTAAATGTAGCTGTCGTTTTTTTTATTGTCTTAATATTTTTTGTTAATCAGCTTTCTTGAATGGAACATGCAACAGAAAACAAGCGCCGTTTAATATGATTTTGTATAAGTTAATATTAAGGCATTGCCGTATATATACAAACTAGGGGTATGTTTGACCTTTTTTTTTTTTTTTTTTTTTTTTGCCAGTGTTTCATGATTTTTTTAGAGGGGGACAAAATATCAAATGTCCCCCCTCCTATATACGATTTGAGGTTTAACTTGTATTTTTAAGATTATATGCGACTTTTTGGTGTTTTAGTCGATGTGAGACCTTTCATTTTTCTTGTCAGTTTGTTTTGGAGTCGTTTGTTGGTTTTTACCTACCTCTCCACCTCACTTATTTATTTTTTGAAGAAAAAAAAATCACCAACAAGTTGAACAACAAGGTTTTTGTTAGTTTGTTCGTTTGCTTGTCGGAGAGGTGGGTCTCTTGCACGTATCCTGATGGAATAAGGCTCTGTCATGGGTGTAAAGGGGTGTAAAGTAAACTCTCATTTTGTGTTGTTGTAGTTGTTTTTTGGGGGAGGCCGTTCTCAAGGCCATCGTTTTGATCTTCTTTGCCGCTCCTTAGCCCCCCCCCCCCTCCGTTTTGGAATTGGTAGCGGCACACCCCCGTCAAAATAACAGTCCCCCCCCCCCCCCCCCGGGGGGAGTTATACAACCTCCACAATCTTTTCCAAATGTGTCATAAGTATATGCACGCCACGGGTTAGGTGCTCCCGACCCACTCATTTTACATGAATGCAAAAAGGAATGAGACGATCGAGATTCATTCATGCTGGTCTAATTTCAGATCATTATTTTATTTGCATGCATACAGTATACATTCATCGGATAGCGGGCCTTAAAAAGTCCGTCTGATCATGCAATGAGATACCAGGCCCAAATAAGGAACGGAACGGCATACTTCCCATAATTATGTGGATGCAAGACCAGCCAAAAAAAACAAAAAACAAAAACAAATACAAAAAAACAAACAATAACACACATAAATGAATGAAAATAAAATATAAAATTAAGGTTTCAAAATTAGGCAGAGCTGCTGGAAAATGTACTGGTTTTGTCCCAATCACAATCGGTCTTAAAATGATCACTTAAAGATATAATAATAATCAATAAAATAAGATTGGTGGGACCAGCCCCCCCCCCCCCCTCCCCATTCCCATCCTGCAGCATAGTGAATATGATTATATTTAACCAAAAAGAAAATTGAAGAAACTAATAACATTCATATTCACTGTCTAAAATATATAACTAACAAACACAGTTATATAGTTACCTTTACAAATGTATGATAAACTAAAACCTGTGCATGCATTAATCTTCTTCTTTTTTTTTTTTTTTACAGCTGAATCCACAGAAAACACACATAACCCTCGTAGTAAGTCCGCTTAAAAGTCTAATGCTGGACCAGGTGCGCAGATGGAAGAATCTTGGCATCAGAACTGCGGCCATTCTTGGCCATTCAGGTCATGACATGGACAGGGAGACTGAAAACGGTAATTCAAACAGCAACGAGAGATTTTACACGTTGTGGGTCATACAGCGGATTATACCAGGTGTCCCAGAAATAAAGTGGAACGAAGATTTTTCAGTATGCTTGCCTTAATTCAAAAGCTACATATTTGGTTTTACATTATTGGATAAATCATTTTCTACCAAAGACCAAAGAGAATGATGCCAAGATTGTTGTAAATGGTTCAGTAATTTTGATTCTATGCCCGTTTCTTTTAATACAATCATTTTCAAATTTCGCATGCTTTTAGCGACCAATATATAGGAGTACTTGTGTCGGGAATGGCGTGTAACATGCGTCCGTTTTCCGATTTCAGTTTTTCTTTTGTTTGCATGCATCAATGGGCTCCCCCCGAACATTCGAAATTTGAAAATGACTTTATTTAAAGAAACGACATGAATCAACACTACTCAATCAAATTCAAAGATCTAATTAGTATCATTCTCCTCGGTAGAAAATTCTTTACCCAAATGATGCAATAAAATTATACATTAAGGATCGTCATCACTTGTATAGGTAGGGCGTAATAGCATTACCATAATTTACATCACAACAAATAGTGCTTCTTCTTGCCACAGTTATGGTTAAATATATGGTAATAGTGTATAACATTATTATTATTGAAGTGATAATGCAAAACATCAAATCCGATGTACAATAAAATAGATAGACGACATACACTGTAAAAACTGGGGTGTTAAAATTGACACCAGTCGGTTTTAGTAGAGGACTACACCTTCAGGTATTAAAATTACTACCTTAGAGTTTGGACATAACACCAAAAATGTTAGAATAACACCATTGGGTGTTGAATTAACACCACAGATGTAAAACGCATGGCGTTGTCCTCTATGTACACCCGATATCAATATAGTTCTTGTTGTATCTGTTGATAAGAAATACAAGTGGAATAGATGTGGGATGTGATTATTTCACGTGTTTATATACAGAATGCACTCGATAGAATTTGACATGAATGCATCGATCACAACGTTCCTGTTATTTCTTCATTTATTAAACAGACCTGATGAATGGAGGGACAGACCTCGTTTTTACTTCCCCGGAGGCCATCCTGTCCCCTAAGTGGTGGCAATGGGTGCGGAAGTTTCAAAACAGGATTTCGTTGCTGGTGCTAGATGAGGTTCACTGCTTTACAAAATGGCATGTTCTTGAAAATTATTTATATATTTCAAGCCATTATCATACAAAATACATGTCTTTTAAAAGCTTATCACTTTTGTTTCTGCTAATCATGTGATTACATGGGCCCATTCAAGATAGCTCTGCATTATGAAGCTGCGTGAAAGTCTTAAACAGCAAGCGAGTTTGCAAAATGCGCCTTCAAAATGTGACATATTCATATAAGACAAAATAGGTATTTCCTCTTCATCGTTTACATAATGAAGGCCTATACATATACTCTGCACCAATGTCATTTTCATAAATATTAACAAGGAGCTACGTTTTCTGAGCTCAGTTTACTTCACTCATGCACAGTGGGATGTGCACTTTCACATGAAGACACTAATTATAAACCATAATTACACATTATCAAATTCACAACATTCACTGATAGGTAAATAGGTCAAACGAGTCAATTTTACCAATCATTTGTGTTCATCTTACAGGGGTCTTACATTCAGGGAGGAGTACCTCCGGACCACATCTTTGACATCCAGGCTGGCATGCCCTATAATGCTTCTTACAGCCACGGCAACAAACAGAATGGTCACAGAAATACTTCAAAACCTGAATCTCCGCAGGGAAGAAGTAGAAATATTCGCCGCTATTCCCAACAGGTTGGTTATACCTTATCATCATAAGCAGTTAATGTGAATGATCATTATTAATGATTTCTTCAAGTCAATTGATCATGATCATAGTATACATACATAGTATCTACTACTGAACTTCTCTTCCCTTATTGTAATAATAATTATGTGAGAAATCTTAAAGGAAAATGAAAATCAGACAGCAAAAACAAAATAAGAATACAGCCCTGCAGGGTTGCGACTAGGAACATTTATAAATAATAAATATGGTTAAGAGTGATCAGGGGTATATCAAAGATTTTAATAGGGACAGGGTTCAACAGGGGGCGGAAGGAGAACTTGCGCGCTCGCAAATCTACATTCTGCATGATACAAAATATCAGTAAAATGCAGTCAATATCTTTATGTATTTATTTATGCATTTATTAACATTAGATTATTATTATTTTTATTGTTGTTATTATTATTATTATTATTATTTTTTAATTATCATTATTATGATGTCGATGACTATTATTGTTGTTACTTTCATTGTTATTATTCTCTTTCATTTAATTTATTTATTTGTTATATTTTGTTTTGTTTGTTAGGAATTCAAACATGAGTCCGGTATCAGGGTATTAGCCAATCAAAATCGCGAATTTCGAGACTTATGTTTGAGTTGCTGAATTGGGTTTGATATCAGCTTTTATACCACAGGGTCCAGGGTTTCATAATTACTCGGATAGGCCCTTTTGAATATCATAAATGAATCATAAGGGAATTGACAGAACTTTAAATCGGACAGAAACCTGTGTAATACTCGTTATCAGTTGAGGCACATTAATTGTCTACAGCAGAGAGTCATAATGTCATAAACTATTAGGCTACATACGGACATTTAATGAAATCTTGTGTGTAAGGAGACTTTTAAGGAATATATGAATAGCTCTGTGGATATGACTGAGTTCATGTACCTTTAATTGTTCTATCCACAGACCAAACATTCATCTATCAGTGGTTCCGGTGAAGGACAAGTTTGAAGCCATTGGATGGTACTTGGATGAATTAAAGGAGAAGGGTGTCGATGCTGCAAAAACCATCATTTATGCACGGTAAATAAATTTTAAAACGCAATTTTCATTTTTCTTACGGAATTAAGTTTTATGAAGGTTTTCATTTTCAATTAACTAGTATGTCAAAACTTTAGGCGAATCTTTATGACAGCGATGCGTTCATTCTTACGTTTAACGTTTTGCAATATAAAGAATTATGTTCACATTATAAGGGGTCAATTTCATAAGGAGTTACGGTTAATCGTTACTTTGCTCAATAAACGGTTTTCCGTTCAGTTACAATTTATATCACTTTCACTATTGTTGACTGGATCTTAAAAGAGGCACACGTGGATTAGCTTCAATATCCTTAATAATGTCACTAAGTATTGTTCTTTCAGACAAATCGACCACGTTGCTGAACTCTACACATGGCTCAACGAAAGCCTCGCCGAGTCCGCCCATGCTCCAGGACCAGGGCAGTCTTGCAGTGTGGAAAGTAGACTGATCGAAATGTACCACGCATCAACGGACTCAAAGAGTCAGGAACGAATATGTCGTAACTTTTCCACCGAAGGTTCTAAGCTGCGCTGCGTTGTAGCAACAATAGCATTCGGTTTGGGTGTCGACATCGCCGACATTGATCAGGTTATCCACTGGGGATGCCCTAGTGATGTCCTCTGCTATTGGCAAGAAACAGGCCGATGCGCGAGGGATGGAAGACCCGGAAAAGCCATTATGTATCTGCCACCCTTTTCAGTCAACAAGAGATGGGTTGATGAAGACATGAGGGACCTTGTCCAATCATCCCGCTGCATCCGGAAATCGGTGTTGAACACGCTCTTCGTGCATGGCATGGAAAAGGACAATGTACAGGTGATGTCATGCTGCTCAGTTTGCGACAGTGCTAAGTAATACGGGACCCATAGCATGTATCCATTTCTATGAGTCAGTGCACAATTTAACACTGCGACGCTGTGCATCCATTCTCGTAGAAAGTGCTTTCAGCTTTTTACCAAGGTTCTTTGGATTTCGCAACACCTCTTTATGGTCGAACCCTTCAAAGCCTTTGTGTTGTCTGAAGGGCAAGTATTCAAACAGTCCAAATCCATCGTTCTCATCCACAAACAATGCAACATCTTGTTTGTATACATCCTCTGCTTTCTTCCTAGTTGGCGTCTTCATGGAGACGATCCCGGCATCACTGAACATGATATCCAGGTACCTACCAAATGGTCCTGACATCTTGGCACATCTCTGCGCGTGTTTCTCAGTCACATTTCCATGAGCGAAGTCGATCATACCTGCAAAAATTGATACAGAAAAAAAAACAGTTAAAATATAATTGTTGAGAAGATCAAATCAACCTTGATTTATAATTGCATATCACGTCACCTACGCACAACGCAAAATGCGTCAAACATTGCAACTGACATACCCTTGTAGTCCATGTTAATGTGCTCAGTACCAAGGTCCATCCCTATGTTTCCTCCGGGCTTGCCAGTGACATTGATGACTCTGTTCCAGATCAAATTGTTCCTGATGTCAGAAGGAGCAAATCCACCGATACCTGATGCCATGAAAAAACAATTTGCGAAATCTAAAACCAACATTTCACCAACATGACCAAGGAAATACTTTCTACTTTTCAAACCCCTCGTTCGAGGATCATTTCATGATGTTCAAAGGATCGCATGGGCACCATCCCTTTAACGTTAACTAGCTAGGTCACTATTAGTTTGAATGCACATGCCATCATTATGACCGTTCATCAGTATACACTTTATTAATTGTGTGTTTGCCAGCGTCCTTCTTTCGGCAAATGGCACAAATCTCCTATCTCTTAAACAATGCTTAATCTGTTTATCCCCAAACTCACAATATGCACATCCTGGAGGATTCGTTGTCTAGTACACCTAATCACAAATGAAACGGACGTATTCTATGTGCATTTCAAGTGGAAGTGGGTCTAAAAGATGATGTGATGATGTGGCACACAGAATATATTTTTGGCACATAATAATAAGTTTATCGTGAGTGTCATGAAGTCTTGTCCTGTCAGTTATTCTCGCATCGAGTCAAATGAATATCTTATCAATGTAAAATCTTATAAGTCTTCAAATTCCAGACTCACATGCTAAAAAGTAGTGGGCATTGATGAGGTACTTTGGGTGTCTCTTTGACCAGAAAGTTATGAGATCGATTTTCCAGTCTTCAACCATGACTGGTCCATTTCCAGCCCGAACTGCTGCTCTCCTGGCTAGATGTCGCAATCCTTCCAGAACGAGAGCTCTACTGTGGTTCAGCACATGGTCGTCGTTTTGAGAATCAAGGGCGCATTCTTCACTGCAATACCACTTCTCTGCGAAGATATATATATGGAATGCATTGGAACTAATGGATTTGTGAAAATTTGTTCCCTCTTCTTATTCTAAGGTACGGTTAGGGCTAATAAGATGCTTGTATAATTTATGATCGAACCTCATCAACTAGACTTTTGACATCCATGGAAAAAATGGGAATATGGAATATATAGTCCACGAATAGAGTTTTGGCTTGCATATCGCAGATTCTGGTAGAGTTTTATCCAGATAGGGACACCAAACGTTGCAGGATTAGTTCTATTTAGTGGGTTATCCAAACTTGCTAAAATGTTAATATTTGAAATTGTGTATTTATAATATTCCTGAAACCTTGTAACTATGAACAATTACAATATTCTTACCGGGTAAGAGATCAGTCAACTGAAGACCAATGCATCTGTGGTGATACCATTCATGACCCCTGCAGTTTCCTTTCAATGCGCACTGCGCCATGTTTGTGTTGCCCTCTGGATCGACTTTCCGCTGGCACACACAGTAGATGTAACTCGGACCACTCTCACAGTCGGCGCTGCAATACCAGTCTTTCTCTTTGTCTGGAGCAGCTGTCAACCCAACACAACTAAGGTGAAACCAAGCCTTGTGACATGTTGAACTGCAACACAGCACCATGTCGTCATTCTTTTCTGTATTAATTATTTTAAAAGGTTGGAAAAACATGTATCAGTCTTGTCGAATACAACTCAATTTTCTTTCAACAGAAGTTAGAGAAAACATTATTAAATTCATCCCCTAACTGATAGAGTGATATGTGTTTGAAGGATATCTTCTTTTTCTTCTATTGTCCACTTTTAAAATGCAACGCCCGTCTCCAAAACGAATTTGGGAGGTTTAAAATGCAGTTTAAGATAATTATGTTAGTAATGGCTTTGGAAAAAAATCGATATAGTGTACAATTCAGCTTGTAACTTATTTACCATTAGGTATGGCATTAATTGTCACTTGATTTTGGAAGCTTTTATCATATAATGAAACGGGAGCATATTCAGTTAAAAGTGCAAAAGAATAGATACTGGTACTGATGGACATGCCTACCAGATTTGCAGAGGCAATAGCCTAGTGCATCATCTGTTCCTTCAGAGGCCTCATTCTTGTATGCTTCTGCAGCTACTTGAACTGATGACTTATCGGGCTCCTGGTATATGTAGTCCACAACTTGTTGTGCCACACTCTTTACCCATTGGAGTTGTTCCTCTGTCGTTCCTTTAGCAGGGAAACTATCAGGGATGTCGTTTAGGGATGACGTTCCACAGAACTTCAATGCACAAAGGAGAGTGTACGCCTCGGTCACGAACTGCATAAATTATAAAAATGATTATTATAATGTGACTTTTAAGTTATGCTGGGATCATTCTTAAACTATCAAAACATCGTAACCCCCCCCCCCCCCTTTCTCCTTTTACTGACATTTCCATCATCATTTTTGTCAGTATAAGCTTTAATCTTGAATAATTGTCGCCATTCCAATCCACATTTTGAAACGTCTTTCTCCAATTTCAGTTACTTGAGGGAAATTCATCAACACCCCTCCCCCCTTCACATGAACACAAGCAAAAGCAACAAACGCACACACACACACACACACACACGCACACACACATACACACACTCACACAAATACGGCTTACCTCGTACATATCCCAGACATGCTGAACATTTTGCATCACGTCTTTTTTGAAGGAATGGTGATTGAAGTCGCATTTCAGTTGTGCAAGTGTTCCTCGTGCAGAAATACTTTGACCTCTGAAGAACACATTGTTCGAGTCCTATTATAAAGATTGGCAATATATCTGAATAACGTGATTTATGACATATTTTTCAATGATATCATTTACAAGCGATCATTTCAGTTTCTGGCTCTGACTTTGCAATTTACACGTCCTGTTTTGATTAATCGACAAATGAAGAGAATTTGACACCTAACCCTATCTTTTTATTGAACTGCAATATAATTTTTCCTAATCGACATTGTCATTCACGTTTTGAGACACAGAGCATAAAAGGTCATATAAGACGGTGAAAACTCTTTTATTTGATCAATTGTAATTTGCCAACACGTATTTACTGTGGTCCATGTAGGCATTATTTTAACAAGACCGTGGGAGGGGGGGGGGGCATGACGCCCATGCTATTAACCCTCCAATTAAGATGATAACATGACTTTTAGACTCGAATATCATCTCACTTAAGAATTATATTGGGCTGCACCAGTGAGAATGTTCTTCCTTTCAAACTGACCTGCAATAGGAGGATCTCCTTGTGGAACTCCTGAGGTGTTGCAAAGAATGCGTCGAGTCTGTCCTCCCATCGTTCCCCGTTACTTCGCGCTCTCTGGGCGTGTAATATGCGTTCGATTGTCAGCCCGTCGCCACTGACGAGGGTCTGTGTTGGTGTTCCTTCGGTAACAGGCACATAGGTCTGGAGGCGCTCCAGGACTGAAATTGTCCCCTGCGTGGTACTAGGATTGGCGTTCACAACTCCAATTGTTACCTGTATTATAGGTAATTATTATCTGAATGTCAACATCTATTTTTCTTTGATAATATAATCTGAACTTATAGCAGTATGCCCACTATTTTCCTGGTTTCTCTCAGTATGAAGGTAGTTTAAAGTTATACTTCTAATCATTAGATATTACATTATCAACGCGAAGTGAACATTTAATTTGTCAAGTTGGTACTGGATAAACAACTAAGGCATACAATTTGAAGTACTCAAATCGGGCACTATAATTCAGATTCAAGTTAAAACAAACAAATTAAAAAAAGACTGTGAGTTGTATATTGAATAAGGCCTCTATAGCTGCACCCCTGGTCAAATTCTCACCATTTCAGACTTCTTAGCCATGGCAGCTGTTTGTGCGTGTTCTTGTGTGATGGGAAGGTCAGGAGATAAGCTCTCTAAAAAGCCCATATGCCTCCCCATGATGTTCGATACCACATCTACTAAGCGCATTCGCTGGCGGTTGAAGACTTCCGGTGAGGGCAAGAAGCTAAACGGGTCTAAGTCCTCTGCATCGCTCACTGTCGAGGATGACGAAGAAGCTGGCACCCTGTCCCTTGCCGCGTAGCACATCGTCTGAAGGAGGAATTTGTTGCTATGTGTTCTGCCTTGATGTTTTGCTTCACATCCCTTCTGCACGTTGTCAATACAGAGTCCAAATGTAGGAGGACCGGTAATGAACTTTAGCTTCCGACGTATTGTCATGCTCGGCGCTTCCTGATCAATTTAGGGAGAGAGGGATTTCGTATTATCCACATGTCAATTCATTTCAGCATAATATTAATTGAGAAGGAAACACCGATTTTTTTTTTTAGTGTTTTCGTGTTATCTAGAGTAAAAAAAAAGTCATACATTGCTACAAGAGGAAGCGGTCATTTCCTCAAACTATATCTCGATACTGCCAAGTTCTTACTAAGGGGACGAGCTGTGGGAATAAAGAGCTTTATAGATTTTAATACGAACAACTTTCAGAAAAAAGAACATAGTAGACGACTAGTATGGATGTACATAATTTTGTTAATTACTGTGAATATTCAAAATGGTGTATGACTCAAGTACACCCTATATTTCTTCACCTCAATTGTACACTTCCACTCTTTAAGTTGTTGGTCATGATTTTCCGCCATTCTATCGACATGGAACCTGACGCGCTCTGCTCCCATGGTGATGCCACTGTGATTGAGCGTCCGGAAGACTTTCTGGGACACTCCTTGGCGCCACAGTTCTATTCCCATGGTCGCCTGGACAAATTGGAAGCTGCGTGGCGAGTGGGTGTATAATGCCATGGCTAGTATAATTCCCATTCTGCGGTCGATGATTTCCTTTGCCTCTTTATCGGATAGTCCCCTTTTAATGGATAAGAAAAATAAGATCGTTTACGTTATTATCTTTCTTATAAGAAGCGTATAAAGTACTTTTCACCGCAAATTATTGCTTGGGAAACAGAATTTGGTTGTTGTACCCTCCCCCCCCCCCAAAAAAAAAAAGTCCAATAACATGACACACAAAACCTCGGACTGCCAATTAAGGCTATCAGATTCGAAATATTAATTCAGTTGTTGAGTTCCTCTAACTTCTCCCGTCTCTATCTTAATGCCACAAAATCATATATTTACATAATTACGTATTGTGCGACACTAAATTGTCCTTTTGCATGTGTTTAGTTTATCTGTGTAATGTTAATTTATAATTTCTTATGTGAAGGAAAGCGCCCACAATCTCTCTTACTTTTCAATGACCCCGCTTTATCCCCCAAAGTACATAACTATGATCAGTGTGAAATGTATTCAGGTTATCACTTATCAGTACTACATGTTGTACCTCCGAGAGCCTTTCTTTCCTTTTGTTCTTCCTCTCTTGGCCCCTTTGACCGAAGGCATCATTGCCGAGATGCAACTGATTGAGAGTGGCATAATCTTCTCGGTGTCCTCTACAAGATCCTCCCAGCTGAATTCTGCGACATTTCCAATTGTCACTGGCTGGCTCAAGGCGCTTCCGGATCGCTTAATGGCTTTCACCTGATAAATACAATCAATCATACTTTAAATTGACTAAAGACATGCGAATACCACGTCGTTATTGTAGTTAAATTGTAAAGCATATGTTTGGTTTCTAATTTAGTCAAATAGTTAAATAACGTAGAAATTGAAACGTTTTCCCGACT